ATTTTCTTTTTGATCCGGCAGCCAAAACCCTAGACCCTAAAACTTAAAACCCTAAACCTTAAAACCCTAAGGTAACATCATGACCCAGCACCCCAGAGCCGCTTACGACGGTTTTCAGACATTTTCAATTGCCGTGAGGATAGATGTTGATCCTGCAGTACGGAACCGTTTAGGGTTTAAGGCTTAGGATTTAGGGTTCAGGGTTTGGGGTTTAGGGTCTAGCTGGGAACAACAATTTAAAGCCCCTTATAGAATGTAAGGTATGGTGGAACCCTACTCTAGAAATATGCCTTACTTAGGGGTATCGGGCTCCCTAGGTCTGCAAAAAGGCTTCCAGGAGAGCAGTTGCCAGAGGCCCTAAGAGGCCGGAATAGCCCAGATTCGAAGGTCAGAAGTATGGGCCCCCAATATGGACCCTTAGGCCTTTCTAGGGACCCTTAAGGGTACATATAGAGTATGTAGTAGGTATATAAGGATTCCAGCCTCAAGGGCCCATACTAGGGGCCCATGGGTTCAACCTTAGACAGATACGCCACATCTCTAGCATGGTTGAGGTCTTGGCTTTAGGGTTCAGGGTTATAGGAACCTGATTAATCTGGAGTTTCTATGGATCGTACCAAAAAAATTATAGGTTTTGGCACGTTATAATGGGCCCACAACATCTCTAACACGGTTGGTGTCTAGGCCCGTCTAGGCTTGACACTCAGTGAGCCTCGTTATCGCAAGAAACCTTCTCCCACGTGCTGCTCCTAAAGCAAAAACATTCAAAGACCTCAAACCAAAATATCCAAAGTGTATTTCCGAACCTGGCTTCCTCCGTAGTTTTTGTCATGACAGGTAGGTGTGTAATATAGGGGGCGTGAACAACAGTATGTCATTCTTCGTTACACCATGGACACCCTAGCCTGAGTGAAAAAGCAGAACCTATCTTCCGCTTCTCTTTAGGGTTTATGTACTCAAACCCTACACAACATTAGTTCATGGTAGCTTACGGTGATCATTCAGCCCCCCTCTCTTCTTTCGGGCCGGAAGCTGTCAAGCAGTAACACCCGCTTGGGCGCATATGCTCCCGTTTCAGCACTTGGGCGCCGGCTTTAGGGTATAGGGTGCAAAGGTTCCGCAATACTTTTATGTACTTCTAGCACATTGATCTTGCAAGTCCGTTGAGCCCTGAAAACTTTTTCGTTAGGCACGTCCCTAGCAAGACAGTCTGCTTGACGCCTCGAAAAACGAAGCGCGCACTCTACAAAATCAAAGTGTGATGCCAATCAATCTAGATTGAATCGTATTAAGGGTCCCTCAATAATCTAAGGGTTTTTTGTTATTTAAGGGGTTGTGCTTCGAAGAATATAAGGAGAATAATCTAAATTGAATCGTATTAAGGGTCCCTCAACAATCTAAGAGATACTTGCCATTGAAGGGGTTGTTGTTCGAAGAACATAAGGAGAGTATGCCCAAGCCCGTAAGACTGTGTAGAGGCCTTTGAACCCTAAACCCTAAACCCTAAACCCTAAACACCCATGGCGCTGGGCACTCTTCTGGCTCCCGTGGTAGTAGACCTGCACTACAACATAAGCCTCCCGTGCAGGCCGCTCGGGCGCTGCCGCTGGCCTTTGAGGAGTATCCGCCCGATGGCCTCTTGGTCCCATGGGATAGCCCTAAACCCTAAACCCTAAACCCTAAACCCTAAACCCTAAACCCTAAACCCTAAACCCTAGAAAAAGACCCCTACCCTGAACCAACCCTAAACCAATCCTAAACCCTTGAAAGTATGAACTCTTACGAATCTACAGCGGTCTGGATCCAGGGCGATGTGCGCATTGAGGTTTCGCTGGTGACCCATCAAGCCCAAAACCCGAGACATTTGAGCCCGACGCCGCAGGCTTCTGCAGCATTTCAGGGGTTTCTGGCCCACGGATCAGGAAAACTCGTATACATACGAGGAGGAATCCTGCACATGAGATCAGATATATTGGCCCTAAACCCTAAACCC